AATGTATTTATGCGTTGCGGTTGAATGTATGGATAAATATTAAATTTGAATGTAACATTTCATAAGTGCTGAATTCCCTGATGGTTCCTCACCTGTAGGTCAGTCATGTGACTCCAGCTTCATCGTGGTTTTCAGCTAATTCAGCCGAGCGCTTTGTTTTCATTAAGAGAGTACCCACATCCCAGAATAACTGGAGGATTACTAAATTAACTCTTGCAAACTGCGCTGTTTTAGATTCTTTATTTTGTTTATTTTTATTTAACCTTTATTTCACCAGGAAAATCCCACTGAGATTAAAAATCTCTTTTGCAAGAGAATCCTGGCCAAGACTGGCAGCAGCACAAAGAGGTTACAGAACATTCACAGCAAAAGCAGAAAAAGTTGACTCCATCTTAAATAAATTAATTAAAAGATTCCTCAGTTAAAACATTTACAGATGATTCCTTCTCCAAATCGGTAAGAACAGCCTTAAAACAGTTTGTGACAACAGCTCCTTCATGTGTTCATGTGTTTCTGCAGCTGGTTCCAAGAAGACGGAGCAGAAAACTGAACAATCTTTCAAAGTTCAGTTTGGACTTTAGGCACCGAAAGTAAAAATAAGTTCTCACATCGAAGAGAGAATCCTCCGGTGGACTTTCTCTTTATAAAGGCCGACAAATACGAAGGAAGAAGTCCTAGTGTGACCTTATAAATAAAAAATATGCCAATGGCGGAGTCTATGAGTGGCCAATGCCATCCATTCAGCCCCGTTGTATAAAGTGCATTGATGTGTAAAACCTTTTAAACCTGTTATAAATCTTAAAACTCCACGATAAACAGTATCCAGCAAATAAAGACATTTAAGAAGCACATGCATCAAATGTCCCCATAGTCCAGAACAGACATAAAAGTAGCATCAACCAGTCGCTGTCTAGCCTCAAAAGATAAACAGGATCTGATCCTGAAGTAAAATCCCAGTTTTAATCTCAGCTTCTTCACCAGCGGTTGAATGTGGGAAGTAAAAGACAAAGAACCATCTATTAAAAATCCTAAATATTTATACTGTGATACTTTTTCAATTTTCAGACCTTCAGCTGTAGTAAAGACTGGACGATCCTTACTTTCAAATCTCCCATTGGAAAACAGCATCACCTTCGCCTTATCTGCATTTAAAACAAGCGCAAGGTGATAAAGAACAATTATATAGTTTAGGATAAATATTTTATATATTCTGAGTATCCTATTTTCTGGCGTATAAGTAAAAAAATATATCATGAAGATGAAAAAACGTATAGAAGTCACTTTGGTGTATAAAAGTCACGTTTATTATGCGTCACCGCTGACCCGTCACGTTTACTATGCGTTTATTTAATGGTCAAAACAGATTCATTTCTCCTGGGCGGTGCCATCCATCCATCCATCCATCCATCTATCCATCCATCCATCCATCCATCCATCCATCCATCCATCC